TAGAAATATGTACATGCATACATATAATATTTTATGATGTCATGATTGGGAAGGAGTTCTTGGACAAGCAATAATAAAACACAATTCATAAAAGAAAAAATTGATCTATGACTCTCTCAAAGTGTGAACTGCCATGTAACAAGACGCTGTAAATTCAAATAAAAGTCAAGCTACAATCTAAGAGGAAATAACTGCACCGTGTATAACAAAGGACTAGTACTCAAAGAACTACTCGCCACTAAGAAAGGCTTCCTCCAACCTGCAAGAGAAAAGGAGAATGGACAAAAGATATAAATAAGGAACTTTCAAACAGAATAAGCTTCAATAGCCAATAAGCACATTGAGATATATAAATAGAAATGATTATCAGATGTGATTTTTATGATCAGCTAGATAGAAATAAAAACATACACCAATGCCAAGAGCTTGTGAGCACACGGGGCCACGGGGACCGTATATGCTGCTGGTACACTCACACTTTGGAAGGCGACTTGGCACTGTCTGGTAAAGCTGAAAATGCACACAGCTTGTAACCCATCGATTTCACTACTTAGGCACCAATCCTGTGCTATTGGCTGCATCCTACTGGCTTGTTGAAAACAGCCACACGACCCATGAACTGCCTTTCATTTTGCCACTAAAGTGCAAGATGACAACCTTTCCCAAAGAAATTCTCATGCTTGTGCGTAGGTCACGTGTATAAGGATGTTCTTTGCAAATGTTCTTTATAATAGTGGAAAATAATAGAACCTATATAAATGTCCATTATTAGGGTGATGAATGAATAAAATGGAGTAGATTCGAATAATAAAATGCTATGCAATGATAAAAATGAATAAGTCAGCACATAAATATAATATAATATAAATAAGAAATCTCTCTCAAACCTATTGTTGAGTAAATAAAAGAAAGGTGTAGAGTGGTAAATACTTTTAAAATTTACAATTTATATTATAAACACACATGCAAAAATAAGTCTACATGCATTTATGGGTACATAGCTATTAAAGTTTAAAATATAGGCTGGCATGCTGCACACCAAATTCATAACAGTGGCTGCCTCTGGCAAAGAGAAGAAGAGAAAGGGAACTTCAACTACTTCAAGTTTACTTAGAATGTTTTGTTTTATTTAAACACACTTGAAGCAAACAGGTCAAAGTATTCTTATCTGAATTTGTTTTCTGTGTTTCAGGTTTTTTCCAAACAAAAAGCACACAAGTGGTAGCAATGAAGAAAATCAGTACTACGTCAGAGGAAGTTTAGGGTGCTTCAGGAATGCGTAACAGTGGAGTCTGACCAACTCTATCTGGAGTGGAAAAGGCGGCCTGGAGGAAGTGGGAGTTAGCCTTACCAAGGGGGATGGGAAGAGCACTCCAGGCAGAGGGAATGGCCTGTGCAAAGTCAGAAGTCTGAGAGAGTTGAAGCAAGTTTGAGCAAGTGAAAGCAGATGAATGGCCAGGAAGGAGTAAAGCAAAGGGGAGAGCTGAAGCCATTAAATAGGTGTGTGTGTGTGTGTGTGTGTGTGTGTGTGTGTGTGTGTGTGTGTGTGTGTGTTTCCTTTTTTACAGAGGTGGAAACAGAGCCCCAGTGAGGGGAATAGAACCCAGGCCTCCTAACTCCCTGTCGGCTGCTCCGGGACAATAATAATGGCGTGCCAGCCTCTCTACCAGGTCTCTCAAACGTGTCCTCTCATTTAATCTCATTATGGACCCAGAGGGGTTTTTGTCCTCACTACCTTACAGGTGAGGAAACAGGCTGCAGAAACTAAGAAATTCGCTCAAGGTCACAGTGGCAGAAGCCAGATCCCACAAGGCCTTGTGTGCTATGCTAAGCAGTTTGGACTTTGTCCTAGGGGTGTCGGTGAGTGTATTAGGTTCCTATTGCTGCTGTAATTACCACACACGAAGTGACTTAAAACGACTTTGATGTATTAGCTTACAGTGCCTGAGGTCAGAGGTCTGAAGTGGGTCTCTCTAGGCTAAAAGTGAGGGGGTGTCAGGGTTGGGTCCCCTCTGGAGGCTGCAGAAGAGAATCTGTGTCCTTGCTTTTCCACCTGCATTTCTTGGCTTGGGGCCCCCTTCTGTCTTCAAAGCCAGCGCTCATACCACTCTGATCTCTGCCTCTGCCATCACCTTCCCTCTGCCATCACCTTCCCTCTGCCTCTTCCTCTTCTGCCTCCCTCCTTCACTGACAAGGACCCTTGTCATTACAGTGGGCTCACCCAAAGAATCCAGGACAATCTTTCTGCCTCAAGGTCCGCTGATTAGCAACTTCAGTTCCCTGTGCAGCCTTAGTTCCCCCTCTCACGTCACACAACATATTAAGAGTTTATAGGAATTAGAGCATGGAATTCTTTGGTGGGGAGGGTCCATTATTTTGCCTCCCACGATGAGCCACCAAAGGGTTTTAAGTAAGGAAATGACAAGGCGAGACCTGCATTTTAGTATATTTTTATTATTGATTTTATAAAACCGTCACTTCACGACTTATTTACTGCAAATTGAGCTTGCAACAAACAACGAACACTTTCAAAGAATAAACAGTTCATAGATATCAAATTTGTTCCATCTAATAAGTATACGAGGAAAGACCCAACCCCCCCGAATTTATTTATTAGAAATTGTGTATTTATTCTTACATGATTAAACTTCAGTGAACGTACTCTCTATTTGATGCAATGCACCTATTGAGATGTTTTTTCCACCGCTCAAAATAGTATTTGAACTTGTCAGTTTTGATGCCTTTTAGTGCTTCTGCTGTTTTTTATTTCAACTCTTCCACTTCAGCAAAACATTTCTCTTTGAGGAATTTTTCATCCAGGAAGACAAAAAAAAAAGTCGCTTGGGATGAGATCGTTTTGGGTTGAAAACTGCTGAACACTCAGCGCAGTGAGGGCAGGTGCACCTGTAAATCACCCATCACGAAATGGGCAAGTGCATTGAGTCTTCAAAAAACAAATTCACTGAAGCTGAATACAGCCTCTCACACACTCACATAGCAGGGGAAGCCTGTACTGCAAGGGGCCCATCCACCACAAGATAATTATGAGGGTTTTTTTTTGGGGGGGTGTCCCTGCCTCATATCTTTTTTTAAAGGTATTTTTAACTTGATAGTTCTTTTGTACAAGTAGAAGTTCAAAGGGATGCTATAATTTCCCCTTTACGGATGAGGAAACAGACCCAGGGGCATTTGGTTGTCTGCCCAGGTTCGCATAGCTGCCATGATGAGGCGCTAGTCTCCAGGTCCATTTATCAGCATTTCTTTATGTCATCCATGGGGTGGGGCATTCTGGGAAACACACGTCAGACTCCTTTGGTGCAATTTTTCATCCCTAATCTGGTGTCCAATGAGCATTTGTTGAATGAATGAATGACCCTGCTTTCACTTCTGTGGCACAGGTGGTGATTCTCAGTGCAGGGAAACCTCTTGCCCTATTTAGAGAGGTTCTTTCTTTTTCCCTTTTGTGTTCTTCACAGAAAATTGAGACTACGTGTAAATGCTCTATTTGTCTACTTGCTTTTTTTGTTTGCCATCCCCCTAGACCTGAAATGTCCAATCTGTAGCTACCAGACAGATATGGCTATGAAGCACTGGACATGTGCCTGGTCTGAAATGAGATGTGCTCTAAGTGTAAAATACACACTACACTTTAAAGACTATATAAAATAAAAAAAAGATGTGAAATGTGTCATTAATCCTTTTTAAATATTGACTACATGTTGAAATAATATTTTGCATATATTGGGTTAAAACATGATTAACAGCTTTCTTCTTTCCACATTGCTGGTGCGGCTGCTAGGAAATTTTAAATGACACATTCGACTCACATTATACTTCTATCAGGCAGCGCCGTTCTGGACTGTCAGCCAATGAAGGCAGGAACTGTCTCCCTTATCTACCTCTGTGTCCCCAGTGCTTACCATGTACTAGGTGCTCAGTGAGTATATGTTGAATATCTTGGTTTTTATGAGAACTCTGGGCTCAGAGAGAGCTGAGACAGGCGGCCCCCACGCATGCTGTGAACTTGAGAAATAAAGAAACGCAAAAGGAGGGTTTTATTTTTCTCCAGTCGCTGCATTTCCAATAGGTTCTGTGGACTCTCTGTCCTGCTCTGTACTGACCTTCCCTCGCACAGTCACCTACCTACTATACTATAGATGGGGGCTAGCTGGGTGGGGGAGGCTGGAGGAGCAAAGCCGGTTCAGCTGCTTTCATTTCGGGAGCATAAGATTTATTTTGCGTTCTCCAGCTTTGGTCCTAGTAGCAGGAAGGACTCAACACACTGAGATACACGGGGCAGCTGAGACCCCAAGGGTCACCCAGCAGGTCAGAGGGGAATAGGGGCTGGAAACTTGGTCTCCAGAATCACCTTGCAGGACTCTTGTCTCCCACTACATCCTGTTGTAGTCTCCTGTACGCCAAGGGACCCTTCCCCTCGCCTCACATTCACCTCTGACTTCCTGGGGGGCCTAAGAGCAAGTGTGCCTGGTCCCAGCAGAACAGACCCAAATGGCACCATCCACAGAGCCTTCCCCAGTGTCACCTCCAGATGAGAGGAAAGCAGGGAAGGGTGGCTGAACGGATGGCCGGACTAATGAATGGACGGACTGAAGCCTGGGAGGACAGACGGTTGTGTGTGAGTGGGGAAGGAGGATGGTTGGCTGGTAGGATGCCCCCATGAGGAGTGGGGCAGGAGAGGGGATTACAGAAGGAAGGAATTACCTGCCCTCTTTTCTCATCTCAAACAGAATCTGAAGAACGGAGGACCCACAGCGATCAAAGTCCAGCCCCCTTCACATTTCTGCTAGAAAACCGAGGCCAGGGGAGCCAGGTGCTTTGCCCCGGGGCCCATAGGGAAGTCCAGGCACAGCCTGCACTGGGGTCTGGGTCTCTGAGCCCCCAGCGGAAGGCTCTTTCCGCCCCCCGCCCGCCCGAGCCTGACGGTGCCAGGGTGGGGGGAGGGCCTCGCCCCACCTCCGGAGGTGTCGGCCCCACGAGGCCCCAACAAGCTGCCGTTGTCCCGCGGGCCCTGGGCCCGGCACACTGGGGCTTTGTCCAGCCCCCCGCTGCGACCCACGGGAGGGGCCCCCACATGACCGAAGGGGTAGGAGGAGCCTGCGGCTGTGGCGGCGGCGGCTCCACCATCGTTTCCCTCCGTGGCCTGGGGTCGGCGGGTTGTGACGGCGGCCGGGCAGGGCCGGGCGGGGCCGCGGACGCCAGGCCCCCTGTTCCCCTTCAGGCTGCCGGCGCCGGGCCTGGGCTACCAAGGCGGCTGTGACCCGAGCGTCTTCCCGGCTGCGAGCTGGGGGTGCGCCAGGACCCCAGCCCCCTGGACCATGGGGAATGGCATGACCAAGGTAGGTGGGCGGGGATCTCGCAGCCCGCACCTGCCCGCCCCCAGCCCGACCGCGGCGCCTGCCTCGCACCGGCTCGCTCTGCCCGCCCCTGACCTTCTGGCTGTCGCCGTCTCTGTGTGACCCTATCTCTGTCTCCCTGCGACTCTTCCCGAGATCCTGTCTCGCTGGCTGTCTCTCTGGGGCTGCATCTCTCTCTAATTTCGTCTCTCTTTGGTCCCTGTCGCCCTGTGTGTCTCTCTGCCCGTTTCTGACTATGTATTCCTGTGGCTCCCTGTCGCTCCCGGAGCCTCTCTCTCTCCCTTCCTCTCTTCCTCTGTCTCCCTTTTCTCTGACTCTACTGTCTGTCTCCCTGGGGCTGTTTCTCCGTTCACTCCCTCCTCTACCTCCTCCTGGTCCTGCCTTCCCGCTCCCTCCTCAGAATCCCCCACCACCCACCCAGGCAAGTCTAGCTCTCACCTACCCTCTCCTCTCTGCTCCTCCTACCCTACCCCGAGGCGGCCTCCCTTGGTGCCCCCTTGTGCCCGCCTAGCCCCTCTCACAGAACCCCGGCCCACCAGAGGGAGGTCCCGAGGTTCAGACACCCTTCACGGGATGCAAAGGCTGTGGGCTCCAACTGTGGGTGGGAAGGGCTTGCTCCCCTACCCGGCTGACCCTGCTGTCTCTCCTGTAGGTACTTCCCGGACTCTACCTCGGAAACTTCATTGGTGAGCACTGCCCACTCTGTCCCAAGGCCCTGGCACTCTGCCTGCCGCAGGCCTGCGTCCATCATTCATGCTCTGGCCCACGCACCTTGGAGGAACTCAGGAATGGGGCTGGGGGCAGGGAAGTGATGCCAGGGAAGTGGGAGGGAGAAAGAGTTCATGAGGACAAACAGGGACGTGGGTGGGGAAAGTGTCTCCAGGGCAAAGGGCTCAGGACGCTGGACGCTGGACTAGTCTGCATCTGCTCTGAGCCTCTTCCTCGGGGAGGTCTGTTTGGAGATGTTGCTTCTGGCTGGGGAGCTGGGGACCCTTCCCCCCCACAACCTCCTCCTCAGAGGAGAAGTCCTGGAAACTAGACTCTACCCTAGAAACTTCACTGGTCAGCACTGCCTACTCTGTTCCCAAGGCCATGGCATTCTGCCTGCCCCGGGCCCGTGTTAAGAGACAGGCTGGTCCAGGGCTTCTGGGATGCAAGGTGAGAAAAGTCCCTTCCATCTGCAGAGCCAGAGAGAGCTTCAGAGAGGGAGGGGCATCTGAAGCGGGACAGGGCCTCTCCATCCACCCTGTCCCTCACAGGCTTAGGTGCTCCACCCAGCCCCTTCCTCCCTGCAGCTACCTCAGCAGCTCACACCATGTTGACTTCTGAGTATTTGGCTAAAAAGGTCATATTCCCATGAGGGCAGAAGTTGTCCCCACGCCTCTATGCCCAGCCGAGGCTGCACACAGTAAGCATTCCATAAATGGGTTGAACGAGAATGTGGACAGATGGAGAGAGAGGGGAGATGTGTTATTTATTCCGATTATAAAAGGTCTGCACATGCTGGAAATCAGCCCCTAGAGATGGCCGCTAATAGCAGTGCGAGGCATGCCCCTGGGTCATTTTTCATCTTTGTCGATGTGGATACAACGTTTAAAACAAAAATGGAATCCTATTCTGCATGCTGTTCTGTTCCCTGTATTTCCTATTTAATAATATATAGTGGACATCCTTGCCCACCAAAGATCTTTTTAGTGGCTGCATAGTATTCAGGTATGAACATACCACTTTTTATTCAGCTCCCCTTTGATGGACGTGTAGTTTGTTCCTACTTTTAACTCTTCCTGATGTTGTCACTGTTGCAAGCAGCACTGCAGAGACTGCCATCCTCTACACACAGCTCTTGTGTGAGCAAATCCTTCTGTAGACAAGATTCCTAGAAGTAGAATTACTAGGTCAAGGATATGCCAGGGAAGGGTGTTTATGATGGAAAAAAATAGCATGGGGAAGGCGGGGGAGATGCGGAGCTGTTACTCGAGGGTGCCTCAGAGACAAGACTGAAGCCAAGGGGTGTGGCAAGACCTGTGGAGCTAGGAGCAGGAGGTGGCGCAGGTGCAGGGACCTGGCAGAAGGTCCGCTGAGGTGGAGAGGGTGAGGTGAGGAGGAGAGTTGGGCAGGGAGTCCCGCCTCAGTGGGACTTAGGCGCAGGGACACATAAGTCACACCTGCCAGTTTGGCTCAAGCTCCCTGTTTCTTTCAGATGCCAAAGACCCGGATCAGCTGGGCCGGAACAAAATCACGCACATCATCTCCATTCACGAGTCACCCCAGCCTCTGCTGCAGGTACTCCTCACCCCCCATCCCAGAGTGGGGCACTGATTGAGGCGGGGGGCTCCACACACCTCCACAGCACCCATTTATTATGTACCTGCTGTGTGCCAGGTCCTATACTGCCTTCCTGACCCGTGCTAATTCACGGGGTTGAACACTGGCCTGTTTTATATTGGCATCCCTAGTTGATCCCCATTTGGCAACTGAGACCCAGAGAGGTAAAGTAATTTGCCTAAACTCACACATCTAGGAAACTAAGGAGCTGGAATTTGTACACAGACCAAGGAGCTGGCCCACAATGCCTCACCTGTGAGGCCTAAAAAGGCTCCCACGTGGGTTTCCCATTACCCAACTGAACAGATGACCCCAAGTGAATGATTCTGAACTCTAGGTCTTGCTGTGTGACCTGGGGCTGTGACTTCACCTCTCTGGGACTCAGACCCTTCACCCCATCTGCGCCGAGTATTGTGGAGCCCCAGGAAAAAGGGAGTGAGGGTGTTTTGAGCCAGAGGAGGAAAGCAGGAAATTCAGCCACAGGTGCCGGAGTCGAAAGGCCCCAGTTCACATCTTCACTACCTGAAATCTTGGGCACAGGACTTCACCTCTGTGAGCCTCGGTGGCCTGATCTGTAAAGGAAACTTTGTAATAGTACCGACCTCAACGAGTTACTGAGAGCTCCATCATGGGTGCTTCACAAATTACAGCTGCTATAATACTAAGTTAATTGTGTCTTACCCCCAAAACAGAGTTCCTTCCTCCTTATCTGTTACACAGTCTCTATCACCCACCGAAGGGAAAAAGCTGCGGGTGGGAAAAGGCTCTGGAGATCTGAGATTCAGACCAGGTTCTCCCACGGATTTGCTGTGTGGCCTTGGGCAGGATCCTTCCCCTCTCTGGGCCTTAGTTTCCCTGTGTGTCTGACTTGATGACTTCTAAGAGCAACCTCCAGGAATCTGTGTTTCTCAGTGTGATTCAAAGAAGAAATTTCCGGGTCAGTGGAGGCTGATTTTGCTGTAGAGAGCAGACTCGTTTGGGAGTAATCGGAGTATGCAGTCACTAGATTGCACGGGGAAAGTTGTCAAGTCAGGAGGACACTTACTAATGAAATGACTGCTTGCAAAATGAATCCCTGCCCCGACGGCCCACCCCTCGTCTCACGAGTGCCTCTCCCATGTCATACATCACTGACTTTACCAGTCAGGGTTTGATTATGCCGTGCAAATGCAAGGCCAAGTGTGTTGTGAATGAAATCGCAAACCTTGCAAAATTATCTGGATTGAGTGACCTTGGGGAAAGTGAGTTAGAGAAAGACTGGACGCTCACAGGGAGCCATTAACCAATGGGGGGATCCGTCAGCCACTGGCCACGGGTGGGCCAGGCACCTGAAAAGAGCCATTTGAATATCGAATGATTAAGAGAAGTCCTTGAGAAAAGTGAGGAGGTTCTTGGAATGTGGGCAAAAATCATCTTTATTATCTTGCGTGAAGGTGAAGCACGAAGGGAAGGAAACTGGAGCAGGTTGGTTGGGAAAACTGACAATTCACTCCTCCATTATTTTAATAATTAGCACAAAGTTTATTATAACACAATTCATGAAGTGTGAACTTATTTTCATAATTTTTGTTTCGTTTTAAGAAAATAAAAGCTGCCCTTCTTACTATGTACTTCTGTAATCCTCATTTGGAAGGGAGTCACTTTAAGTGGCCCTTCCCTGGCTGCGAAATGAAAGGTCCCTGCATAATTTTTTTAATCCAGGTCTCAGAAGGTTCTAGAATCTGACTGATGGTCAGAGCTGGGAGGCCCTCAGATGGCATCTACTCTCTTTGAATAGAGAGGACACTCATGGCCCAGAGAGGGACAGGAACTGGTCTGGGGCCAGGCAGTGCTTGGGGGTCCAGGCCGGGAAAAGGGGGTGCAGCCACCCCCTGCCCTACCGCCTGTGTGTGTTTTGTACTTTCAGGGCATAACCTACCTTCGCATCCCAGTGGCTGACACCCCTGAGGTACCCATGTAAGTTCCCTGGGATGGACTGACAGACAGACAGCTGCCTCCTGTGGTGGGAGGGAGGGTGGAAGGTGGTTTGAGGGAAGACAGAGAGGACTTGGGCCAGAGGACTGTCCTGGAACCCCAGCACAGAGGGCCACCCGGCCCCAAGTTTGACCGTCTCAGCTGTGGCTTTGCCTGTGCCCCTGACCAAGACCATTAACCTCCCAGAGCCGAGTCTCTTCTGCTGCGAATTGGAGAAAGCACCCTGTCTCAAAGGATCAGCTGCACCAGCAGATTTGAAAAGGTCAAGCTCAGCTGGTTCCTGGCCTTGCAGTTAAAACGTTTGGGTTCTGGCCAGGCTTTACCATTTACTTGCTGTGTGACCTTGAACAAATCACTTCCCCTCTCTGAGAGGGAAAACGGGCTCCATAGGCACCAGGGAGGCCTTGCTAGATCAGATGGCGTGGAGTGAGTGAGGATCTAGGACTGGCCTGGGTGCCGTGGGGGCTCAGGACGCAGGGTTCTGGTTCATGTTAGCAGCAGCGCCTCCAGCCTGGGAGGGACCCAGACAAGACTCTCCTGCCCCTCGGGAATCTCGCTGTTAACCCCACTGCTGACCATCGGTGTCCCCAGATGCTCTGACTACAGACCCCAGAGGAGGGGGACTCCTGTGTCTTCTCCCACCCATTTCCTTGAAAGGTCAAGATCAACCACCCCATGAAAAGAGTCCACAGGACACACTGGGAGGTGCTCCTGCTGGGATCTGCCATGATTGGCCCCTCTCACCACGAGAAGTGACACCTTTATGGTTTCACAGGCATCCCCGCCTCATATAACACTACTGGCTCCTGCTCACGGCACGTGCTAACTGACCTAAGGACCCCAGGGTCTTGTCCTCTGTCTCTTGCCATCCCATTCATGGGGAGGGGGACAACTCCTAGGAGACATGCCCCCCACCAGTGCTCCCTACCCTATTGCTTTCTTCTCTAGCAAAAAGCACTTCAAAGAATGTATCCACTTCATCCACTGTTGCCGCCTCAATGGGGGGAACTGCCTTGTGCACTGGTGAGTGAAGAGGGCAGTGGGGAGAAAGGAAGGAAGCGGCTGTCCTCCATCCCGAACACACACTTATTCTGTGGGGAAGGAGGAACCTGTGACAGATCTTGTCCAGCTGTCACAAGGGCCGATGATCCACCATTCTCCTGGGAGAAACCGAGAGGGGGCTCAAATCAGGGTTCTGTCCCCTACCAGCTGCGTGGCCACAGCCCAAGAGCTGTTTCCCCCGAGACTCCCTGTCCGCACCTGTAAGGTGGGGAAAACAATGCCGACACGCCAGGCTACTGGGAGGGCCAGGCGAAGTGGTGCAGGGAGCCAAATACCCTCCGATAGTTCTAGCTCCCTCTCCTCCCCTCCAGCTGGGCCTTTGAGGTGGTAGCGCAGGGCAGTGGGGAGCCCCAAGCTGGGAGACAGGACCCCGAGTCTCCCCAGGAACCCTGGCCCAGTAGGTGTCGTTCTTTTCATAACTGCTCACTGAGCAGACCCCCAGCGGCAGGACAGCCCCCTCCAGCCTTGGCTCTCACCCTGTCTGCCGTCTCTCCCTGCTCCAAGGGCACTGGCCATCTTCCTGGTCTTCAGATCTCCCAGGTTCCTCCTCCAATGCTGCCCAGAACATTCTTTATTAATCCTTCCCCTTCTTTCAAGACTCAGCTTGAGGTCACTTCCTTGAAAATACCTTCCCTCCCCCTCCCCCCCAGTAGATTGTCCCAGCCCCTGGACTCACCCTCAAAGCCATTATCACACCACGTGCACTCATTTCCCTGGGTAGTGTCTGTCCTCCCCCCCCCCCCCGACTGCACTGTAAGGACCAGGATGACAGGGACTGTCTTTGTTTTACTTCCCACTCCATCCCCAGTATCTGAAAAGTAACAGATGATCAGGAAATGTTTGTTGACTGAATGAATTAAATGATGTTTCACTCGGGCCCTTCATGTGGGGGAGAGCCTGGGGGGTTCTCCAGGCACAGGGAACAGAATGGGCAAAGGCCTGCAGGCGGGAAGACAGGTCCCGACAGGTTCCTTGTAGTTGGGCTCCGGGGGAACTGAGGTGGGGGCGGGGGTGCAGAGGGGACTGGGCCTTAACTGAAGCTTGAGGGGTGGGGGGTGGCCCCAGCTTCGCAGGCATCTCCCGAAGCACCACGATCGTGACAGCCTATGTGATGACTGTGACCGGGCTAGGCTGGCGCGAAGTGCTTGAAGCCATCAAGTCCACCCGGCCCATCGCCAACCCCAACCCAGGCTTTAGGCAGCAGCTTGAAGAGTTTGGCTGGGGCAGTTCCCGGAAGGTAGGGGCTGGGGCTGGGGCAGGGGCTGGGGCAGGGGCTGGGGCAGGCCTTGGGGCAGGGTGGGGGCTTTTCTTTCCTAGCTTGGGCTGAGCACATATGGGAAAGAATTTAGCCTGTACTTCAGGCCTGGCAGAATATTTCTGCGTCTCAAACTCATGGCCCTTGAGCTAATACAGCCTCTAGTTGTATTGTGTTTCAAAAGCCAGATGTTTTCTTTAGCTTTTTAATTTAGAATTTGAATGCCTTTGGGCCACAGTATGGACCTTTCAGTCTGACTGGGTCCCAGAACTGCCTGCTCTACCTGCCTGGAACCTGAAGGCATTTGAGCATTCGACCCCTTGGGGGAGAAATGTCCATCTCGTACTCCATCCCTGCTTCCTTGATGAGGCCAAAGCAGTTTTCCTATCCCCACTGGGCACATGGCATATGGAGATGTCAGAAGGCAACAGGGGATGAGAGACAGAGAGACAAAGAGAGAAGCAGCAAGTGCAGGCAGGCTCTTACCAGGTGGCAGCCTGGTACCCAGAGGCTTATCTGCAAGGCTTTAGGAAAGAGGCAGGTGAGAAAGAGGCCTGTGTGAGCGGGGTTGCTGAGCAGGGGAAGGAGGTTCATGTGGTCTCCACTGTGCAGGCTGGGGGTTCGCTTCAACAGGTCTGGAAGATAGAGCGGCAAAAGGAAAGTGGGTTCAGGGAAAGGGAAGGGATCCATGTTGGGGGGGCGCTGCTCAGTGAGGATGATGGAAACTTAGAAGGGAGGCTAAGAGGATGTTGGGGAAGGGGAGGGGCTTAGAGAGGTGTGGGAAGCTCGCTGAAGGGCGGAAGCTCTGAGGTTTGGGGAGGGGACGGGCCCGCGGCTTGGCACCGATCCCGAACCCGTGCACCCCCATCCCAGCTTCGCCGGCAGCTGGAGGAGCGCTTCGGAGAGAGCCCGTTCCGCGACGAGGAGGAGGTGCGCGCGCTGCTGCCACTGTGCAAGCGCTGCCGGCAGGGCTCTGCCGCCTCCGCCGCCTCCCCCGTGCCGCAGTCCTCAGCCTCCGAGGGAACCCTGCAGCGCCTGGTGCCGCGGACGCCCCGGGAAACCCACCGGCCGCTGCCGCTGCTGGCGCGCGTCAAACAGACTTTCTCTTGCCTCCCGCGGTGTCTGTCCCGCAAAGGCGGCAAGTGAGGATGCCGCCACTTTTCCTCCTGACTGGTCCCCTGCGAGGGGCCGACTGGGCCTCCCACGGCCTCCAGGAGGGCCCAGAGCCCGTGGGAGCCCCGCAGTGGCCTGATCCCTGCCCCTGTCCCCTATGCCTGCCCTGCTTGTCTGCAGTAGTGTGTCCTCTGTCTAGTGCGTCTCTGTTCTGTGTCCGGGCCAGGCTGCTGCAGCCATCTGGTGCCTTAGTCCTTGGGCTAGGGGTGGGGGCACCCGGGCCTCCCCTCTTAAAGTCGGTGGGAGTGGGAGTGGGTGGGTGGGGATTGGACGGGCCTGGAGGATATTAAAGAGACACAGAAGCTGCCTGTCTGACTGCCTCCCAAGTCTTTGAGCAAAGGTGGGACAGCAGGACTCTCTCTGCCAGAGGCCGAGAGCCTGCAGGGAACAGGGATAGGAGGTCTGCATCCCCTGGGGCCTGAGGAGCCTGCTGCCCTCCAGTAAACTGCAGGCCTGGGGCCTGAATTCCCAGTACCTCTCGGCCATTCCCTGCCTCCCACCCCATTTTCCCCCAGGCCCTGGTCTCCTGTGTAGGCCCTTCTCTCCCAATCTGTTCTCCTCCCCAGGCCCCTCCTCCTCTCCAACTCCCTGCCCTTCCCTACTCAAAAATACTAGCTGGTAAATGCCTCCCTCATGCTTGACCTTTTACACACTCGAGTTCACTTAATCCCGAGACAGGCAGCTTGGCAGCTGGAGTAGGGCAGGCTGGGTTTGAACCTGGGCTGTTTGATGGTATGATGGCTGTTAAGAAGCAGCTCTTCCTGATCTTGGAGGTTACTGGAGAGGGGGATCATCTCCAGCTGGTGGGAATGACCCTTCCCACCTGGAGTTTAAAGGCCAGGCAGCCCAGTAAAGCAGCAAACTCACTTCCAGGATGAACAGAGGTCATTGGAGCTGACTGTTCCTAGACTAAAATTAACCCAGAGCTGTGAGGGATCTGAAATAGCTATAATAATGTAGCCACCTTCACGGGGCTCTTACTAGACCACAAGCACTGTGTTCGGGGCTGTGGGGAAGACCCAGATCCAGTTCTCGGGTTGGAGGGACTGAGCAAATTACCTTTTCCTGCTGCCCAACCTCCCACTCCACATTCATTCAACAAATGTCCATTGAGTATCTACTGTGCGCCAGGTACTGTGCCGGGCACTGGGAATACAGCAGGGAGCAGGACGTCTGCCCTGGGGTTGCTGATATTCTGGTGGGAAAGACACCCGACAGTCAGATAAACAAAAGTAAAAATAAACCAGGGAGTGAGGGGGTGAACTGGTGTGCTGTCTGGGGAGAAGCATTCTAGGTGGAGGCAACAGTAAGTGAAAAGGTCCTGAGGCAGGATCCCGTGTGACAGAAAGATGGCTGGACTCATCGGTGTGCAGGGGGTCTGTGGGAGTCCCGGCTGGTTAGTGGGGTCACCACCCACTGGGCTTAAAACGCCATTCTATTTCTACTGGTGTCTTCTACCTAAAAGCCTCCATGATCCCCATCATCAAGAGGACAAAACAAAGCACCTTGGTCTGACGTCCCAGGTCCTTTTCGATACTCCGCCTGCTCCCATCATTACTTTTACCACACTCTGTCCCCAATAACGACGACGACAACAATAATAATACACATTTACTGAGGGCTTGCGATGGGCCAGGTAACGCGCTAAACATTTGACCTGCCTCTCAGTGAATCCTCAAGCAGCCCTGAGAAGTAGGTGCTGCTATTTCACAGGTGTGGCAACTAAGGTTGGCGTCCAAAGTCACCGGCTGGCAAGTGGGGGCGCCATGACTGGAATCCAGGCAGTCTGGCCGTGGAGCCCACCCTCCTAATTACTGCCGTTCCACCACTTAGGAAAACAAAGGGACCGTCTGACACACCGAAGACCTCTGCTTTGATGCAATTATTTTGTAGTATTGAGATACTTCTGTATTTAATCATGCAAAATGCTTTGTGCTCCATGGGAGCCCAACGACCCTGAGTTTGAGTTCTGGCTTCGACTAGAAGTGTCCAAACTGGGTGGCCACTTGGGACATGGGGACAGAGGGCAGGGGGCAGGGAGCACGGAAGCCCCTCTGACAAGGACACACTAGGGACAGCGCCTCCAGCCTCCGGTCGGTGTCACTTGCGGCAGCAGGGGTGCTTTCTCGGAGCCTCAGACGCCCCGTGTACACAGCAAGAGGTGGAGCGGTCTGAGCTACTTGGTCTTTTTCAGATCACAAACCCCATGTGATGATTTAATGAAAGATACAGACTGGAGAAAAATGCATAGACATGAAAATTTGCGCACACTTTCAGGGGAATCACAGGCCCACCAGCAATCCATGAACTCCAGGTGTAGCTGTTGGGAGGCACCGCGAGGCACAGTTTAGGGTCGGGGCCCTCGGGACAGAGAGACCAAGGTTTGGATCCTGGCACCCCCATTTATTAGCCCTGTAGCAATGTCACAGGACTTCAGCCTGTCTGAGCTTCAGTCTCCTTAACAATGAACTAGGCAACTACATTCACCGCACACGCCGTTGTGAGAACCAGTCCTGCCAGGCCCAGCACTGTGGTGAGCCCCAGTAAATGGGACTCCCGAGGGCTGAGGTGATATTTCTCCAGTGTGTTGGGCCAGGGACCCCCTGGACCAGAACCGCATGGGGAACACGTGGAAGTCCGCTTCTACAAGTCTGAAATGCAGGGTTCGCGATTCTGAGGGGACTCAGTTTGAGCAGCACGACACCTTTCCAGCCTCTACAGTTCAGGTTCTGAAAAGGGCCCACAAGTTTCTGGCTGGCTGGGAAGAGCAGCAAACAGGTGCAGGGGCGGGGCAGGGGACACCTCCGCGGGCCTGGGGACTTTGGGGACGGGCAGGGTCCCGGCTGCAGCGCACCCAACCCTTCAGTGGGTCTTGGCGGCCCACACCAACTCCAGCCGATCCCTGCAAGCTGCAGGACGCCCTCCGGGACAGGCTGTACGGGGAGGGGCGAAAGGAAGGGGCCTCCCAGGAGAGGGGACCGAACTGAAAGTGAAACCTACCCGGCCAGACTTTCGCTTTCGCCGCGTCCACGCGCCGCTCAGGTGGCCCCACGATCGCCAGTTGAGCTGGGGTCCAATCGACCGCACGCCCCAGACCTGGCTCCTGGAGCACCGCGTTCCCAATGGCCGGCGACCCCTGGCGGAGGGAGGAAGGGAAGGTCCCCGATGACGGGAGACCCACGGCGGGGGCCAGTGGTCCCCTGCGCCTCCGAGACTGGCTGGTGGCACAGATCGAGAGCGGGCGCTACGCGGGGTTGCGCTGGGAGGACGAGGGCAAGACTCTGTTCCGCATCCCCTGGAAGCACGCGGCCAAGCAGGGTTACCGGGCGCAGCAGGACGCGGCGCTCTTCAGGGTAAGGGGGCGGGGGCCGGGGCACAGGGCCCCGGCGCCCAGAGCGGTGACGCACCGGGTGACCTCGGGCAGCTCGCTTGGTCCTTAGCCTCAGCCGTTTCTAGTGTTCTCGGTAGATGGAGACCCTCGGACACCCTCTTAAATCAGAATGACCGCGACAGCATGACCTGTACCGTCCCCACCTCTCGGGGGGCCTCTCCTCAGTCTCCGTGGGGGGAAATTAGACGCCACTGCCGAGAACTCCCTGAACTTCCTGCCCACGAACCCTCCACCCAGCAGCTCGGGGACATTGTCTGTGCTTCCCAGTACCAGCCCTCCTCAGGGATTCGCCCCTGCAGGGATGCATTTCCTTTCTTCGGTCATCATTAACTTTCTCCACACTGGCTCCTTCTCGCCGCATTTCAACTCCAGAATCCCTCCTGTGAGCAATAAGGAACCAACGACCAGCCAACCACCTATCAGGCCCCCCGCAAACACCTCAGTGTCTCCAGCTCCTGGTCCTCTGGACTCCCCTTTCCTGAACGGAGTCTCCCGGCCATCAACCCCCACCCCCGCTCCTCCCTGAAACACACTGGATTTCCAGAATCTCTGCCTCCCACCCAACCCCCCGCTCTGCCCTCCCTTTTCCTCCTACCTTCGTGGCCCCTGCTTCTCAGCCTCCAATGCCTCCCCTCCTATTTGGAGGCTCTCAGCCTCCACTGCTGGACCTCCCTCTTCAAGTCCCGCTCTCCCCTTCCACAGGCTTGGCGTTGGAGCCCAGAGCTGCTGGTCTCTCAGTCCCCAGATCTCTCCAACTCAGCATACCCTCATCAGCTTGCCCCTAGGAGCATCTGTTTCCCAAAATGGAATATTGCACCATTGCCCCCCAGACCCCAGAGCCAGGCACCCGAACCCTGGCTGCTCCCTTCTCTTCCAGTCTCATCCAACTCCATTACCAAGGCCTGCTGGCCCTTCCCACAGAACTCCCCTTCAGTCCATGTACTTGGACCCATTTTACAATCTTTCACCAGGCCACCTGCTGTGACTTCACTGAACTCCCTGCTTCCACCTGGCGCCCAGCTCTCCCCTCAGTCTCCCAAAGGGACCTTTCCGAATGTAAATCTTGCCTCGCTATTCCCCTACTCAGAATCCTTCCATGGCTCCTCAGTGATCTTGTGAGAAAGTCCCAGCTACTTATCACGGCAGCCCCCACAGGAACTGCTCCTCCCTGGCCTCCTCTCTCCCCTCCCCCTCCCCAGCTTGAGACCCGAGCCTGACAGTTCTTTCAGTTTCTAAATGCTTCAGGGCTCCCTCCCCATTGGACCTTTGCAGGTGCTCTTCCCTCTGCCTGGAACACCCTCTGCTCTTCGTATTCACCTGGCCAGCCGTCCTCGTGCTCAGCTTAAACATTTCTTAGGAGCGCCTTCCCTGATACGTGCCTTTAACGCATGGATGCGGATTAATGCATTTATTAAGTTTCAACACAGCACTTCTTCCAATCCATCCCTTATTCCTTCTGCTTTCTCCACTGAAACAACTTTCCCTATGAGTTAGAAGTGCCTTGTGTATTTGCGTCTTCACCAGCTGCTTGAGGTGGTGACACCGAGCCCGGTGTCTGGCACACAGTAGGTGCTCAGTCAGTATTGAATAAGTGTGTGCATGGCCTGTCCCTTAAAACTTATGTGCTGTTCAGAAAACAGACTCTGTGGGCTGGCCGTTCCCACTGTTCTGGCTACTGTTCCTCAACCCACTGCTGACACACGTGACTCCCTGGCTTCACACCTTCTTGGTACCCAAAACCCAGGGGACAGAGCTTGGCCTTTGGGGACATTCATGATCCAGACTCAGTTGTCATCACCTTCCTCCAGACTGGCTCCTTCCCATCACATTTACACTCCAGAATCCCTCCTTGAGTGCCAGTGTGTCTCCTTCTTCCTCAATTCCCCTTCCCCCCACCACGTACAGTTAGTTAACCCTCCTTATCTGTGGATTCCTTATGTGCAAATTCACTCACTCGCTGAAATCTGTGATCCCCAAATCAGTACCCAGGGCACTTCGGGGGCCGTTCACAGACACACACAGGAGTGTGAGAAATCTGAGTTACGGGCCGCGCACATGCCCAGCTGAGGCTGAACAGGTGACGCTCTGCCTTCTTGCTTGTGCTCTCGACCTATAAACAAATGTCCTTCCCATGGAGACCCACATTTTAAATGCCTTCGCGCTCTTGGTTGGTGATTTCACAGTGTAAAACGACCCCAAGCCTGGGTAGTGGAGAAGTGCTGTCCAGTGCCCCTCTGCACAAGAAGCCTGTGACGTGCCTGACAGAGAAAACACAGGGTGGGCCAAAGTAGGTTTATAATTGTTTGGATGGACAGTAATACAACGGGTAGTGAATACAAGAATGAACTCTGTGTTTCGCATGCTTACATTTGTGGGCCTACTTTTGCCCACTCCCCCCACCCCCACCCCCGCCCTTTACGTGGGTGAGATTAGCTTGGTTCAGGTGTCAGTCACAGTTTTCTTGGACAGGAATCAACAGTTTATGTCAAATAAGGCATCCTGCAGAAATGCATATAAACCAAACCTATGTATTGATCAGTTGGTGGAAATGTTGCAAACAGAGATTTGTAGAAATCTAGCTCTGTATTTTCCCTAGGAGCCATGGTTCGCTACTCACTAACACGGGGTTTGTGTAGACTTTATAGAACACAACAACCGCAGGTAATGAGAGTCTACTGTACACATGACCTTCGACCCACGCGCATCTCCAGGCCTTTGCTCAAGCTGTTTCCGCTGCCAGGAATGTCGCTCCACCTAGCAACTTCTCGGTCTGTTCCACCAATGCTCAGCGAGTGTCTCTTGTGTGCCGGGCACCACTCTAAGTGCTTGGGGGACACAGCGGCAGACAAAACCAAGATCCCTCACTCATTATGGGCATGGCACCCTCTACCCTGTCACCGGGTTACCTTTGGGTGAGAGCATCCTTACTGTGCTGAGGAAGTGCTAAGCACTTTACGTGGGCCATTCATCTCACACCAGCCACAGCCATGTGAGGTTAGGAATCACTGGCACTGTTCAGAGACAACAAAATCAAGCTTTAAAGGTCTCAGCCCTGGCAAGTGGCCCCAACATAGGAATGTGACTCTTTGCTCTGGTGTCCACGCTTCCCACTAGGTCTGGAATTTCTGAGGGCAATGACTGAGCGTGTAATTCATTGGTGAAACCCCTACTCCCAGCCCTGAATGTGATCAACGCAAGCAATGTATCTCCTTTGACTACTGGCCTTCCTTGAATCTATCAATCTCTTCCCACCTCAGGACCTTTGCACTTGCTCTTCATTCTACTCTGAATACCCTCCCCTAGCTCTTTGTCAGTATTCTTCTTTTCATCTGGGCTTCAGCTCAAATGCCACTTCTTCCAGGAGGCCATTTCCGATCACCTTCTCTAAAGTAGCCCCTCATCTGTGTTTATTCAGACCCTTTGCCGAAAGTCATTCTAACGTGTTTAATGACTATTCGGAGTGTGTATGCTTTATGGCAAAGTGAGCACTGCTATTCTGTGTGTATTCTTACCTAATACATGTTATATTGTATTGTAGACTTCATTCTGTACCTTATCATTCACCTTGGATATCTATTCTTGTTCTCTGCACATTCAATGTGTTGCTCCTAGATGCTTCTAGATGCTGCACAGGCTGCATAGCGGACGTTCATCACACACATACACCCACCCACTTTTCCAGGGAGGGACACAAGTTTGTCTTCCAGCAATGCAAATCTCTCCCTGGCCCCTCATAAGCCTCGGTGAGAATACCTTTTGAATTGGAATTTCTGCTCACAGGGTATGTTTGTACTTCGTTCAACTAGGCATGCCAGGTGACCATCCAGAAGCTCCGCTCCCATCCCCCGTGTACCAACAGTGCCCACATCCCAGCCACCTCCTGGCATTAGCCAGCTGCTAGATTTTGCCAACTTACAAGTGCTATCTCTATGTTTACTTGCATTTCTCTGGCACTAATGAATTTTTTATTTTTTTTAAGATTTTATTTACTTATTTTAGAGAGAGGGAAAGGAGGGAGAAAGGGGAGAGAAACATCAATGTGTGAGAGAGACATCTACTGGTTGCCTCTCACATGCCCCCAGCTGGGGACCTGGCCTGCACCCCAGGCATGTGCCCTGAGTGGGAATCACATCAGTGGCCTTTTGGTTCAGACAAGGGTGCTCAATCCACTGAGCCACACCAGCCAGGGCCTAATAGATTTAAGGACTTACGTGCTCATGGGCTTATGGTTCCCTTTTCTGTAAACCACTCATTCTTGGCCTTTGGTGAGAACGTTTTATTTATGGGATGTTCTCTGTTTCTTGTGAACTTGCAGAAGTTATGGTCCAGATCTGAGCCTCTTGCTGATTTCAGACAATTAATTTTTTTTGCCTTATAGTCCATGCCTTTGAAGTTTTGTTTCCAAGCATTTTCTGCCCCTAGAAGATTTTCTGCTACATTATCTTCTATTAATTTCACAGTTTTATCTCTTACTTTTGTTTTTTTAATCAATTGGAGTCCATTTTTTGTATGTGGAAATAGGTAGGGATTTAGTTTTATGGTCCTCCAGATTTTAAAAAAACACCATTATTTTACATCCTATCATCCTGTTCATTTTTTTATTTCTCACAATCCATAGTTTGGAACATAGCTATTGCCACTGGGCTGTTGGAAGCAGTCCTTCCTCTCTCATCCGCCATGATTCCGTGGGAGCAAGGACAGTGTCTGCCTTGTTCCCCAGCCAGTGCCCAACTTGAACCTGGCACATTGTAGGAGCGCAGGGAATGTTGGGTTGGCCAAAAAGTTCGTTAATTTTTCCTGTAAAATAAAAGACACATTTTTCATTTTCACCCATAACTTTATTGATTTGGATATTTCGAATATGTCAGTTATCTCCCACTATTGGCTTCTAGTGGGCAGGGGCCAGGGGTGCTGCTGAACATCTCCCAAGGTGTAAGACAGCTCCGCAGCAAAGAAATATTTGGCCCAAATGTCAATAAGTACCAAGCAACTTTGCAAACCACTTTTGACATGTTCGATCAGTCACAGCACCTTCTTCATACACTGCCCAAATCTTTTTTTGAGTTTCAGTTGCGTTTTTACCTTTCTTGAGATAATAACGCATAGTACATGAAAATGGGACATATTTCCTTCTATCTTCAATGTTAAAATGACTGCACAAAAATTCATCAATTTTGGTAAGGTTTTTTTTAATGCACACTGGTGTGACAGCTGTTGCAATATAATCTAACAAAATTGTTGCAAATGAAGTTAAAGACAACTAAGCACTACCAGAGCCATCATATGGAAAAAAACTAAACAAACTTTCTGGCCAACTGGATACAAATATGTGTACGATGAAGGGAAGGAGGGAGGAGAGAGGAAGGGATGGAGACATGGAGGCACAGAGGGTCAGAGGGAGGGAGACAGGTCAGGGTGGGAGGCACGGCAGGCTCCTCATCCTTTGGTGTAACACCAGTCCCCCACCCAGGCTACTCCTCCCCAAGTACCCTTGCTCATCCCTAGGCCTGGGCCATATACAAGGGCAAGCACCTAGAGGGCACTGACAAGGAGGACCCCTCCACTTGGAAGACTCGGCTTCGCTGCGCCCTCAACAAGAGTGCCGACTTCTGGGAGGTGCGTGAGCGCAGCCAGCTGGACATCTCCAACCCCTACAAGGTCTACCGGATTGTGTCCGACGGTGCCCATGGCCCAGGTATCATCCTGCCCCTGGAGGTGGTGGCCAAGGACGGCTCTCTGGCCAATAAGGACCTCTCTTTGCACATCTGTAAAATGGGAAATGGTCAACTTATTGAGCTTAAACTCATGGGCAGGTAAACACAGAAGGACCCTTAGACCAGCCAGTTAATCCTCCCATTTGAAAAGGAGAAAACGAAGGCCCAGAGAGAGGTGGGTCTTGCCTGAGATCCTGCAGTGAGCTGGGGGGCTCTTGGTCTGGGATCATCTCAGTTGAGGGGCTTCCCCTGGGGGCCCAGGAAACAACAGGCTATCTCTTACTGCATCCAGTTGCCAGGGCTTGTTCTTCCTCTGAAGAGAAGGGCATTCTCCAGAGCCAGCAGGAGCCCCCTCGAGAAGTGATGGAGCCAGCCCGCAGGACAGACCAGGTCAGTGCGCCTTTCCAGCCCTTTGTGGCCTTGCCCGCTAAGTCACCTATTCCCCAAACCACACTGTCTGTGGTCTCCAGCACAAGTGCTCATTCCCTACCCTCCTATTCATCCCTGCCATCAATTTCAGTTCTATCATTCCATTCACTTTGCCTCCCTCCCTGTTTCCATCACCTCCATCACTGTCAGCTCCATCACTCTGCATCAACCCTCTTTTCCCCAAATTCACCCCCTGCCCCCATCCTCATCGGGGTCCATCACTCTGTCCCCCGTCACCCCATGAGATCCAGTTCTACCTCTGTGTTCCCTTCACCTGCACCACCTTTAGCTCTCTTACTGTGGCCACCGATGCCATCATCTCTATCTCCACCTCCATCACTGTCTGTATCACCTGTGTTATTTCCACAGCATCACCTCTCCCCCATCATCTGTGGTTCATTGCTCCGCCCCCATCCCATTAGTCTGGTCCATTCCACTGTTCCCAGTGGCCCCACCAACATACACTCTGTCACTCCCCCCCATCGCTTCTGTTCCACATCTTCCCATTCATCCCTAACACCCTTTTCGCTATCACGATAAGCTTCATCTCTGACCCCATCACCTTCAACAACCCTATTGACTCTTTTTACCTCTGTAAGGAGAAGGGTGTTGAACTCGGAAACCTCCAAGTCCCTGTCAACCCCAGCTGGCTTCAATCTGCCCAGACTTCCTTCTGCCTCTCCCACCCTCACAATCCTCTTTCCTGATGCTCAGGTTGGCTCCAGATTAGCCATAGATGATAAAGACAAGGAGCGGCCCCTCAGACTGGCCCAGCAGGGCTCATCGCCACCAGCTGCCCTGCTCCCAGGCCCTTTGGCTGATCACAGTAAGTATTGGGTCTCCTCACCCACTCCTGCCTCCTCCTTGGCCTCCTCCAAGACCTTGATCTAGGGGTCAAGGGTGAGATAGTACCGGACTGCTTGCTCCCCCAGGGTACCAGGCACAGGACCCCGTACACACCTGGAGTCTTGTGCCCTCTGAGGACTTCAGCAACCCGGGTAAGGAATCTGAAGGCTCCCCACTGGGGTCACTATGCAGAGCGGGGAAGGCCCGGGGTTGGAGCCAGCAGGCCTCCGCTGCCTCGCAAAGCACCCAGCCCAGACTCCCAGTAACAGCCAACTCTTGTTGAAGGCTTAGTTTGTTCCAGGCATTCTTCTAAGCTCTGCCCACAGTCCTGAGAGATAGATGTTGCCATCACCCCATTTTACAGGTGCAGAAACCCGACACAGAGGTTTGGAACCTTGCCCGAAGTCACACAGCTAGTAACCTGGGAAAATAAGTGGCAGTGAGAGATTAGAATCCCCGGGCCGGGCTGCAAAGCACACAGCTCTAACGACTGAGCACACTGCTGGCTCCTCCCCTGCGAGGCTGCTGCTTTGTTGCTGTTGTTATTTCCACCGGCATTAAAATATTTGCTGGGAGGAAGCTTCTAGAATACCAGAAGTTGGGGCTGCGAGGGCCTCAGTGTGGTGCCCCCATTGTACACATGGCCCAGACCCTAAGATTTGAGGCTCAACGATCAGTTCATTTATACTGGAAGCTGCAATTATTTACTACCACCAAAATTATAATCGCTTACGGGGCGGAACCGCCAAAATCTCCTGAGGTGGGGGCCGGAGGACCTCAGGATTCCCTGCCCTGTTATGGGGAGGAGGTGGGAGCTGGCGCCACCACGGCCCGTGCGCCTCCTCTCCCCTTTCCTCAGATTGCTGGCTGCACGTGCGACTGTTCTACGGAGCCGAGCTGGTGCGCGAAGCCACGGCGCACGCAGCGGAGGGCTGCCAACTGAGCCCGCGGGCAGCCGTCGCCTCCGCCGCGGAGCGCTTGCTGGGGCCGCCGCCGCGCATCGCGCAGGTTCCTTTCCCCGAGCCGCCGCCCGGAGCCCGCGTGCTGCAGCGCCTGCTGCCGCACCTGGAGCGCGGCGTGTTGCTGTGGGTGGCGCCCGAGGGCGTGTTCGCCAAGCGCCTGTGCCAGGGCCGCGTGTACTGGCGCGGCCCGCTTGCCCCGCACCGCGAGCAGCCCAACAAACTGGAGCGCGAGCGCACCTGCCAGCTACTCGACACCCGCCGGTTCCTCGCAGGTAAGGTTGTGAAGGTGGGGCCGCTGGTGACTCAGGGCAGAGTGGCTGGACACAAGGGTGGGCGAAGGGAAGTGGGCAGAGAAGAGAGAGCACAGGAGCTGTGGGAGCAGGGGAATGGGCTCATGGGTGCTGGGCATGGGGTGGACACAGAAGCACCGTGAGTGGGAGTACAGGCCTCAGGAGGGCTGGGTACAGGTGTTGTCATAGACATGCAAGAGCATGGGCCAGGGACAGGCTGGGGACATTGGGTGTGGGGCATGGGGATGAGCACATGCATAGGACTTGGTCACCTGTGACCCTTCTTCATAGGGTGCTAAGCATAGGGTGGGCAACAGGGGCACTGGGCCCAAGACGGGCATAAGTGAGTGGCAGTGAGCATGGGGCAGGCATAAAGGTAGGGCAGTGGGCATAAGGGCACCGGCCATGGGGCATGAGCGCTGGAAGTGAGGGCGGACGTGGGAGATGAGACAGGCTTAGGGGTGTGGAAGTGGGCACAGGGCGTGGGGGTACAGAGTGGAGATGTGGGCTTACAGCATGTGGGCGTGGGGCAGGGCACAAGGCGGGCGCCCGGCGGGGTTCCCCATCTTGGCCCAGCCCCTACAGTCTCAGTGCCCGTAGAACTGCAGGCCCACCTGCAGGACGGTCGCCGGGAGCCCGAGTACCAGATCCGACTGTGCTTTGGTGAGGAGTACCCAGGCCCCCCGGACCAGCCCCAGGAGCGGCTCGTCATGGCCCACGTGAGTCGCCTCCCCAGTCCAGTGGGGAACCACACCCTTCAGTCCCCTCCTAACAGCCCCTCACCGCTCCCTCTAGTCCCAGCTCCACCCCTGACCTGCCATATGAGCCTCTGGTCTGTAATGACCCTGCATGTAAAGTCCCTGTGAGGAGGGGGCTGTCCCTAGGGCTGTGACTTCCCACGAGAATACAGGGGATGGTTAAGGGAGGAAGGTGTCTCCTTGCCCTGCCTTCTGTCTTCCACAGGTGGAGCCTGTCTTTGCCCGAGAACTCCTGCTACACTCAAAGCACCACAGCCACGGTGCCCTGGCGGCTGGTCCCTAGTCCACAAATCTCCACTCCCTTGACGCTGCTGAGTCAGCCCTAAGCAGCCACTTCCTCCTCCTGTACCCTCTAAAGGCAGCCCCCCACACGGTGTGGGCACACCCCAGCTCTGCACAAACTGAGCCAGTGGACTTGGGGCCTCCCCCCACCCACCACCCACGTGGGTTGGGATGGGGGAAGCTGACTGTGGCCTTCAACCTCCGAGCTGAGGAGATGTAGCCCTGGAACATGGTTCGTAGGTTGCCAGGCCGATGCTGGGTCTGGGGCGTCAGGCAGAAACTGAACTCAATCTGGAGATTCCTGAAACCGAAGTGAGGGCAGAAGAAACAAGACTTCATCTGTTTATTGAGAACCCAACGTGCCTACAGTGGTTTATCTAAAGCAGACCTTACCTGTGATCGATCCATTATAAGCTTTGCTTAAAACCAAGTTTACCAATAATTAGATCCTCAGGGTTGTTTAGAGTGGGACCTCTGAGGGCCTCTGAGTTTCCTGATCCTTCCTCCTACCTGCCACTCGGGGCATCTGGTGCCTCATATCTCTTCTTTCTGGGTGTGTGTGGGCGGAGGAGATCCCCCAAACAGAGGACTTCGCCTGAACCTGGGACTTTGGATGCTAACCACTGCACCACCAGCACCAGGAGATACTTTCTTTGGAGAAACCAAGGCAGGCCCCCAAACAGAGTCCTAAGGCAGAAGCCAAAGTGGAGACCAGGAGCCCAGCCCCTCCCCAAGCCCCTTCAAACTTTGCAAACTATACGTTGTAGGAAATTCTTGAGGACAGGGAGCCAGCCACTCAGCCATGGAGGCAGTTGACCCCACCTTGTCAGTGAGTCGCTGCTTTCTGCCCCAGACGTCAGACCATTTCCCCTTTTCTGGTTCCTGACTTCTTAGGGCTCCTTTTACAGTTGGCAACACAATACATCTTTTTCAGTGACACATTAATAAGCCACTTTTTTTTTGGGGGGGGGCAGGGAACTGTATGATTCAGGAAAGGATAGAAGTCAATCAGATCACTATTTTTCTAATTCAACAAGTGTTGATGGAGCACCTGTTTCCAGGCCAATGCTGGACACTGGGGACAGAACAAAACAGTGTGGTCTCTACTCTCTTGGGGTTCATAGCCTGTGTTCCAGTGGGGCCCCACAGACTGTTCTATCCCTGCCCCTCACAGGAGGCACGTTAAGGAGTTATAGAATCCTGGGTTGAAATCCTAGCTTTTTCACTCACTAGCTGTGTGACCCTAAGTAAGTCAGTCAACTTCTCTGAGCCTCAGATTTCTCATCTGCCCAAGGAAGCTATGGAGGCCTCTGGAGCAGGGCTGGTCTGAGAAGACAATGTGAAAGGAGGTGAATGGACCCAGTATGGAGAGTGGCACACAGTAGGTGCCCTCTGACTGGGTTACTTGTGGTTGGGAGAACATGGAGGAGGTGACCCCAACCTTTAGAAGGCCTGAGTGTCTGTCCTGGGCTTTGCTGTACCCCTAGCGCAAGGCTGCAGCTGGCAGGAGGCCTCAGTTCAGAGCAATAGTCCTCAACCATGTGCTACTCTGAGCTAGGCTCTCCGAGGGTGCTAGATTCCATGTAAAGGGGCCTGTTGCCTCCTCACCACAGTTCATACAGATGGAGAGTCACCAGCTTCACTTTTAGCTAGGGGAAACTGAGGCTTAGCCGGAGTCAGGGACTTGTTTGAGATACCCCTTGGGAGGGATGATGTCTCTGTCGAAATATCTGTTCTCCCCACACCAGTCACTAGAGGGCGCCCGGATGCAGCAGACTGGGTTTGGCTGGCTCTCATCACCATCCTAGGTGTTCCATCCCACAGACATGGCAGTGAGCGGAGGGCAGGTAACCGTGTGACCTCGAGGACCCTGCACTGTGGAGAGAAGTAGACCACAATCCTGGGAGGAGGAGAGGAGGAAAGGGAAACTGGACGTGGGGACTTGAGAGGCCCTGATGGCTTTTCGCATGGAGACTCCTGGTTCTCTAGCTCTACGCTTAGATTCTACTTCTCCCCTCCCTCATCAGGGACGGCTGTCTCTCTGCCCCTCCCTCTCCTGTGTCTCTCTCCATAGCTCCCCTTTCCCCTCTGTCTCTGTAAATTCTCTGCCTCTCTGTGTTACTGATTCTGTCTGTGACTACACGCATGCCCGCCCGTGTGTTTTCTCTCATAATGTCTCTGCCTCTAGCTCTCCCCGTGTGTTCCTGCCTCTTGTTATATCTCTACCTCTCTTTAGCTGTCTCTTTTTTTCACTCTCTTTGTCTCTTTACATCTCTGCCTCTATTTTATTTTATTTTTTTTGCTTCTGTCTCTGTTGCCCTCAGTTTCACATCCTATCCCTCCCCAGGCACCACCACCCAGCATGTGTGGGCTGGGGGTCTCTTCCCTGCCGACTCCTTACCCCTGGCAGCTGCTCAAAGCTTCCCAGTCCTGGCCTCTCCTGCCCGCCCCACTTGGGCCTTGGAGGAGGGGGGCGAAGGAGGAAGGGAGGGCAGCCTGGTGGGCCCACCCCTTTTTGCCTTTCCAGGCTGGGAGGCTGGGCCAGTGGGCCTTTTAACCAGCCTGGGCAGACTGTGCCGGACACCAGCCCTGGACTCCGTGCCTGGCTCCTGTGGTGCCTGGCTCCCGTGGTTCCGGCAGCCTCCAGCCCGGCCAGCCCGGCCAGCATGCAACAGCAGCCCCCATCAGGGCCCTTGGCCCCTGCAGCGGAGCCAACCAAGCCCCCCTACAGCTACATAGCCCTGATCGCCATGGCCATCCAGAGCTCCCCGGGACAGCGGGCCACCCTCAGCGGCATCTACCGCTACATCATGGGCCGGTTCGCCTTCTACCGCCACAACCGGCCAGGCTGGCAGAACAGCATTCGCCACAACCTGTCCCTCAACGAGTGCTTTGTCAAGGTGCCCCGTGATGACCGCAAGCCAGGCAAGGGCAGCTACTGGACACTGGACCCCGACTGCCATGACATGTTCGAGCACGGCAGTTTCCTGCGCCGACGTCGACGCTTCACCCGGCGGACAGGCGCTGAGGGCGCCAAGGGCGCTGCCAAGGCACGCAGAGGACCCCTCAGAGTGACCAGCCAGGACCCAGGAGTCCCCGACACTGCGGCTGACAGGCAGTGCCCATTCCTGCCAGAGCTGCCAGAGACCAAAGGCCTAAGCTTCGGGGGGCTGGTGGGGGCCTTGCCAGCCAGTGTGTGCCCGGCAACCGCTGACGTCAGGCCCCGGTCATCTGCGGAGCCCAAAGAGATGCCCACGCCCAAGCCTGCGGGCTCAGGAGAGCTCCCCGTGGCCACTTCGTCGTCTTCATGCCCGGCATTTGGCTTCCCTGCCAGCTTCTCTGAGGCCGAGGGTTTTAGCAAGGCCCCTACACCCATCTTGACCCCCGAGACAGGCATTGGGAGCAGTTACCAGTGCCGGCTGCAGGCCCTGAATTTCTGCATGGGCACTGACCCAGGCCTTGAACACCTCTTGGCCTCAGTAGCCCCCTCCCCTGCAACTCCCACCCCTCCGGCCTCACTGCGGGCCCCGCTGCCCCTGCCAGCTGACCCCAAGGAGCCCTGGGTTGCAGGCGGCTTCCCTGTCCAGGGAGGCTCTGGCTACCCATTGGGACTGACCCCCTGCCTATACCGGACGCCAGGAATGTTCTTCTTCGAGTGAAGCCAGTCTGGCCTCGGGCGGTCCTTGCGGGACCCCTCCCACTGCATCCTCCAGGCTGAGCCTGACTCTAGGGTCTGGGGGGCTCTCAGAGGACCCAGGTCTGGCAGGCCAACCACAACTGGGACAGGAAACCAAGATTGGAATGGTGAACACGCAACCAGCCTTCGGGGCCTCCGGACGGACTTGGGGTGAGGGGAAGCAGAGCCCCCTTGGGATTTACTCTGTGGCTCTCAGGGCCAATAAAGCCAGTGTGATAATGAGCATCAGCTTGCTGGATGGTTGGGGGCTGAGAGCCAGGACGCCTGGTTCTGGGGGCCGGGGGGTGGGGCTGTGATTGTGGGATTGTGTGGTGGGGGTGAGAGACCCTGGGTGGAAATATCCCTCCTGAGGACTTCTCCTGCTGGGGACTTCCTCCGGGAGTTTCCCAGGAAGGCAGAGAAAGGGGGAGTGGGGAACGGGGGAGAGAGTAGAGGGGTGCGCCATGAGAGAAACCAGGCAGGGGGTGAGGCTGGCCTGCCCAGAGGTCCTCGTTCTCCAGTCCCAAACTCTGTGACTCAGCTGCCCCCATCAAGAGCGGTCAGGGTCACTGTGACCATTTGCGACATTTATTCCATCCCGGAGATATACATATCCTCTCGCCAAATCCTGTGTGGTACGGAATGGTTTCGCCATTTTACATTGGTGGAATCTGAGGCTTGGAGAGTTTGGCGCTCCTAGCTCTGACTCTGGATGGCACATAAGTGGCAGAGAGAAAAACAATACTAGGTCTGTGTACTCCGCCCCCAGCCCCTGACCTGCAGTTTGAGAGAGGACGCAGGGGTGCCACGTAGAGAAGAGCTAGTGGTGTGCAGGGAGTGAGTGGCGGGGGTTCCAGTGCCCGTGATAACAAGGCCCTGCTGACGCTTTTGGAGGCTGGGAGGGCAGCCCCAAGCCTCCTGCCTGGATTTCCCACACGAATGGGGCCTCCCTGAGTCCCCAGCTCTCTGAGTTCTCCTGGTGACTCTTTAAGAAAGCATTCTCTCATGGGGAGTGGGGGGATGGCTGTCCTGAGTACAGCAGAAGTGACAGAGCCCTGACCTTTGGGCCCCTTGGGGAAGCAGGAGAAATGGGTATATTTGTAGCCCTCATCAGAGGAACGGACTTCAGCACTTGAAACCGCACTGTCCCCGGACCCCCTAGTACCCGAGTTGCTGAGGCGCCTTCCAGAGTCTCAGTCCTCCATCTGGATCATGGGTATAGGGGGAGCAGAGAAGGGCCAGGGATCCTTCTCTTCTCCCTCTTTCTGGTCTTTGGTGTAGTGGTCTGGAGGGTCTTATGTCCCACGAGGTGACACCCAGGGAGCTGGAGACCCCTTCA